TTTAGAATAAGGTTTAGCTTAGTTTTGCTATAATTACAAGTTTCTTACCCGGTTTCTATGTGTATTTTATTATTTTTTTCTCCAAATCATTATTCCTTAGTATGTATATCTTCATAGTTTCTGTAAAAAATAATTCCTATAGTTGGATAATGGCCAAAAGTCAGCTGATTCGGCTCAAACTACGGGCGGGTCCAACTAAAATCAGATAATTGACTATCTTCCATCTAAAGCTATTCTTTAGTAATATTATTAATATTAGCAGCTTTGCATTTATTTGTTTTTTTATCATTAAATTATTGCGATCCCAAATTGATTAGATAATCGTGGACAAATATAATTATCTATTTTTGTAACATTTTTTTTGAAAAAATACGATTTAATATACATTTCTTGTATTTAAATTCCAAAAAGGAGAGTTATGTAAGTTAGCGAATAAAATTTTTAATAAATTAATTCAACCCGGTAGCAGCACTGGTAAACCCGAGGTCAGGCACGATACAAAGTACACATTTTATTGGTTATTTAAATTTAACGTGGAATTTTCAATAAAAGAAAAGAAAGAAAAAATTTGCCTTAAAGGACAATATGTATGTTAAATACAAAATATGACAATGCGTGTGTTTAAACGGTTTAAAATATCTTTTAAAAAAATATATATATAAATTATCTAATAAAACATAGAATATAATATAACTATAAAATGTAATTAGTAATTATCGAACATTTCAAATAAAAATTATCATTTAAAAAAAAATGCAATAAAAAAAATTTCGCAAATATTTTTTTTTAGTTCCTTATGAAATATTACCATGAATGAAACGAAAGAATAAAGGTAAAAAGAATAGGATAATAATAAATAGATTAGCAAATCGATAAAAAATAACATGATTTTAGTCCCGACCCCTTTCAATTTTGATGAAAATTAGTATTTATCTATATTGGAAAAATTTTAGCCAAGATATTTTTGGAAATATCAAAGGGTCAAAGCACGAAAATTACCCTTTTTGCAAGTGTCTGTGTGTGATCATTAAATTAATAATTATATATATATATACTTAAAAAAGCGCATTTTTATTTTCAAATTTCATAAATATTAAACCTAAATATCGATTTGTTTTTTTTTTATAGTAGGCAAAGCAATATGCCATTACCGATTAATCTGTCCTCGCTTGCATTTTAAGGATAACTAAGGTTTTTTTGGGCCCGTCCCGGAAAAATATTTTACCCAGATTGTCCCACCCTTAATTATTTTTTGTAGTACCGTTAAATTGTTCAATTTAATCCCGTGGCGAAATCAAGATTATAGTTGCCTAACTCTCGAGATTTCGCCAAGGGATGTCCAAATCTATCTGCCATCTATGAGCTAATATTTCAGGCTTGGGTAATACTTTTTCTGGCTAAAATCTTGAGTTATAGCCGCCTTCAATCTCCCCCTTATATTCTGATTATTATGTACATGATCTTTATTGCTCACACTAGCTATCCACCTTAATTATAACCATCGTGGCCAAACTTTTCTCCATCTCGCCTTTTCAGCCCCCACGTCTTTAATCCATATAGAACAGTAGTTTTATCCCGATTTATATAATTCGCTCTTTAGCACAAATGGCATTAACACTTGTCAATTTCACCCTTTAAGCCTTCATTTCCGCTTCCCTAGTTTTTCTTTTTAATAAACTAAAACAGTCAAATTATCCTAATTAAAATGACCAAAATAACATGGGCTGAGCTTGACAATGGGCTTAAAAATAAATTACGTTATTTTTACCCATTCGAAGCGAGTTAAAAAAATAAGGAAATGTCTAACCGGACACGAAAAAGGTGTCCCCCTACAGATCTCCAAATCCTGAGATAGATTTATTTTTGGTTTATAAAGTTGGACTTGAATTTAATATTATAAAAATAAAGTTATAAATTAAAATTTTTTTAAAAAAAAAAATATTGTATATATTATTTATTTGTTTATAAAACAAAAAATAACTTCCTCGAGGAAAATATAAATTTGCCCCCGATGACATACTATGAAATATTTTAAAGTTCCACGTAATATGGCTTATTTTTTTTGTTATATCAACCACGCTTCATTAATTCTTACGCCCTCTGATTATCTGGGATGGGGAGGGGGGGGGGTAGTGGGATAATGTATTCGCTTAAATTGAGCAAATTAGTTATGGTTTTATTTGAACCTCTCAAATTTATACATTTTTTTTACTATGAATAAGTAATGCATAAATTATTTATTAAATCAAGATTTTATACCTAGTTTTACGGTTCTTGGCCGTTCAGAATTTTTTTTATACGTATCTCAAGCCCGGCTCGAAATTCCACAAGTTTAGAATTTCTCGAATTTAAAATAATTTACTTTTGATTTGATCGGAAATGTTATTCCAACATGTGTAGAGTACCCACACTGTGAATTCCAAAAAATTCTGCATTTGGAATTTACCTTAATTTTTTTTGTATATTTTCTCCATGTATACATTAAAAAAATATAGTAAATTGCTTGAAATTTATAGGGTTAGGTGATCTCTACCACTGGAAGATATATGGTTGAATTGGATTTATATGATTTAGAATCAAGAGATTCTAATATCCTAAAATTATACGTATATATTTTCATAGCGGTGTCGGCCATAAAACGTTGAAATAAAGTATATACTCCTCTGTACTTAAACATATGCTGTTACTTATAGTTTATGACATTTTAACTCATATAACGTTTTATATTAAAGTTTGAGATGAGAATATATCAATGTTATTTTAACAATTTTTTTGCAAGTCAAATAATTTTATTTTCAAACAAATTAAAAAATATGGAAATGTTTTAAATTAAATCTGCACAACACTGTATTACCGTATATTTATTAATTATTGTTAACATTTTTTTAAGCAAATAAAATCTTCCAGAAGCACTTTTCTGAGAAAATGATTAATATGAAATTGAAATTCGGTTCAAAATCCTATTTATATATATTTTTTTAAAAATATATTTTAATTTTAATGAGAGAAATAAGAATTTTATAAAAAAAATTTATATAGATACTTGTAATTTTTTTTAATATTAATTGATTATTTTTTTTTATGACCTAAATTATTAATTGAAATCGAAAATGTTAATTAATAAATTTAGAAATAAAACATGGTATTATTTTCAAATTTTTGTGTATTTTTAAATATCAGGATTTTTGAAATGATTTATTTTAGAGAAATATATATTTTAGGAAAATCAATCATAAATTATAACGAATATCTCTCATAGATATAAAGGTTCACAGTAGAGTTATATAGGGTTGGCCTGTCAAACCCGACCTGCGGTGACACCGTCAATAAAATATATATTCGGCCCATGGCCTTAGAAATATGAATTATTACCTTCCTAATCTTACTATTTTTTTTTTGCCTTTTATAAAATGTATTTAAAAGAAATCAGGAGGTTATTTTTTTCTTATAATATTTTGTAATAAATAAATATTTAAGAGTTTGAGATTTTTTTCCTAATAATCTTTTTAAAAAATTCGGGTCGGGACGGGCCTAGATCTACAAAAATGTACCGCCGGGGCGGGTTTTGGCGGACAATGATTTTGCAGGTCTCTAGTACCGGGTTCGGTTTGTTTAAAGCTGGTAAAAAACCGTTTGCATACATAACCACAATTGTACAAGGAGACATTTTTTTTAGAGCTGTTTTATCACTAAGAACCATGTAAAAATTCTTTTTTAAAAAAAATATCTTTATAACATACAAATTTGCCTAATTTATACATTATAACAATTTAGGTATATTACGATATGTATAAATAATTATTTAGATTATTTTCTTACAAAATATGAGCCCATAGTAAAACGATTAAAATATTTCCCACAATTCTCTCCTTTCAAATTATATTTAAAGTAAGATGTTAGGATTAATATTTAATCTATGGTACTGTTAATAGAAAACTAAATTATATTACATTAATGTTTAAATAGTTGAATTTTGATTTCGATTAATATGTAAATTTACATATTATACATCTTAATGGATTGGAATTTTTTTTTGATATAAATAAATACTTAAATATGGCTAAATATGTGACAAAAATATTGACAATTTTGTTCAATTTTGAAAAAGGGTGGCCAATAAGTATAAATTTTATAGTTAGGAATACTTCTCCATGCTTATGGACACTTGGCACCGTCAGATAAAAATTAGAAACGGCGCGGTTAGCGTGTCAAAAAGTTCAAACTGGTTCACATACATTTTTAGAGGTTCGGGTAACAAAATGATTTTTTAACACTTCCGGATCCGTTAATAACGGTTATTCGGTTTGAATCCTTGCCAACCCTGCATTCACAATTAGCGCGAATTCGCGAGAATATACAATACAAGCTGCGAAGAATAAAGTATATTCGTATACATCGGTCATGCGTCCAGTTCGACATTTTTTTATAAAAAGAATTTTTTGTTTTATACGGAGTGTCCAAAACTTGAAAAAAAAATTGCAAAATTAGTAAACAGTAACAAAAATATAGAAATAAGCCTTTATTTTTTCCTATCGAAAATTAAAAACATGTCCGAATTTTTTATCATTTTTTTTTGAAATTTTTAAAAATTTCAAAATTTTCTAATATTCTCATTTTTTTAAAAAAGTTTAGGACGCAGTCTTAAATAAAGAGAAGCATTATGTTTCGTTTATAGTAAACGCTAAACGTTGCTATATCGCTTAATACTTGGTTTAAATTATACAACTATGCTTTGGTTTAGCCCTCGCGTTTACTATAAACGGGGCTTGTAATAATTTGAGATTTTTGCCGACATCCCAGTTTCACCCGATCAAAGAAAACCGTTAGCAGAGTCGGACCCGACCCGAATAAAAACCCGATTGAGTCCAAATAGAATGTCTGCATGGCCAAGTTGAAATCCGAAGTGTTCTTAATTTTTGATGGAATATTAAATTTCTATTGATTTAATGTGCATGTAGATTAAGGTATTTTGTTACACCTATTTATTTATTTATTATCAGAAAAGGGCATACGGGGAAGACCTGATGGAAAAGGTGTTTTTACATTTAGATCTCATCGAAAAGGATTACTTCGGGCTACAGTTCATGGACCATTTGCAAGTTTCGGTGAGTCCTTTTATATTTATTTATTTACGAACAAATTAAATAATTGAAAGAAAAGGGGTGATTTAAAAAAAAAGAAAGATAGAAGAAATAAAAGAAAGAAATCAAATAGAATAGAATAATATGAAAAGGGAAGAAAAAATAACAGAATAAGAAATTAGAAAATAAAATAAGTAAATGTTAAAACAGATTAAAAAGAAAATATATATAAACTATAACGTTTTAAAAGTTAATTTAATATAAAAAGAATAAGGGATTAGCGCAACATTTTTTTATATAATTTAAAAAAAAAATTATTATTTAAAATTATGAAGTCTTACTTTGCGTGATATAGAAATCTTGAATAAATTTTTTAAACTTATTATATACTACAATTATCATAATTATTTATTAATTATATATTGATACCTAACTTATATATATAATCCTTATATAAAATCTATGAATTTGGAAAAAAAAAATTTTCTCCATTATTATATAATACGTAAACTTATATAAGCTTTGCAATAATTTCTTTAAAAGGTATTTATTTGTACCGTTAATTCCTATTTTATAAAATAATTTAGGAATTTTATCGTGTTATTTTCTTCTTCTTCTTTTCGCTATTAGGATTAGGATTAATTAGTTAAATATCTTTCCTATTATTCGACAAGAAAAAGCAAATTCAATAAAACTTATCAACTAAAAATACTTTATTTGTGTAGCCCAATTTTTTGTTTTTAAATTGACCAAACTCTAAAAGGAGATTCAAATCGACAAAATTCCAAACAATAATATATTAATTATTTTTTATAATTATTATATTTATGTGAGTATGTATACGATTATGAACTTTGAAAAAGCAGTGAATTAAATTAAAAACAGATTTAGAAAAAATTTATTAGGCATAGCTTTTGCTATCAAGTTATCAACCTATATATTAATTATATTGTTTTTTATAAAAAAAAATTATGTTTGAATAAAAAAATAAACATAATTATTAAAAGCATTGGCTCGACCCTACAAAATTAGTCAAAAAGCAAGTTAAAAGTAAATAATTATTTTCATTATACTTTTTAATTTTTACATCTAATTTAAATATGTCATCGATCCGGTTAACACCAAGGCCTGATACTATAATTATTATAAATCTACAAATATTGTGAGATTTTATGGGATTCATACCACGTCGTGTTCTAGCATCTTTTGCTAGACATAATGCCAATACTTCCTTTGAAGCCAAGGGCAGAAAATGTTATGATCAAAGTTTGGAGCCCAGAACCCCCTCCCCCTATAAAAATTTTAGAAACATAAATCGATTCTCTAACATAATTAGGTATCAAAAATTTATTCCATTGCTTATTAACAGATTTTGAAGCCGTAAACCATTTTTTTTAAAAACCCCCAATGGATCGAAATCACTTCCTGCAACCAAAACTCTTTTAATTTACTCCACGCTCCAAACTCTGCTTAGAATATGCGGGTAGGGACGCGATAAAGCCATTATAGGTACAACAGAGCTACGCTAGGAATTTCTCATTTCCATCTAATTGGATGTTAATAAAAGAATTTTTGGCAAAAAAATATGAGAAGTCCATTACACTAGGGTAAGCCGCACGTACGCATAATGGTCCAAGGGCTTATTATTTAAACGTCTTTGGGCTGATTGAAATGGAATGTGCCAAGATTAACAGCTCACACCCATAACCTAATATTTATGTTTAATTACATTAAGGACCGGGGTACGACTAACTTAAATTTATTGTATATCTGTATTTAATGAATTAATGATTATCTTGTTGAAGACATTTCTAGGATCGTCTTATTTGTAGTGATAGTTGAGATTAAATAAACAAAGTGGTAAGGTATGAGGCGAGAGAATGGGGTTTTATATTAAATATAACTCATATTTAATCTTAAAAAGCTTCTTAATTCATTTTTTGTTATTGTTTAATTTTATAAATTGTCTTCAATTCATATTCAAATCTGTAACAAGTCCTTCAATACTCGGTGAAACCATAGTGACGTACTTGCTATACGTCTTTCCATTTAAAGAAAAGAGATGAGCAAAATATCCAGACTTACATAAATTTTCGCGCCTAATTTATATAAACGAAGTTAATGTCAGAGCGGCCGATCCGAACCTGCCTGCCAAGGATATTAAAAGGGTGTTTCTATCCATCACGGCCTAGCTTCTAAAAAGCTCTTGATTTTTTTTTGAAAGGAAAAGTCTTAAATTTGCATTATTCAAGGTTTTAAAAAAGCCGACGGTCATGATCATTCAGCTATATACTATTGACCGCCATCATTTGTCGTAATTGTATATTTTATCGTTATATTTTTTTTTTTTAAAATGAATGCTGGATTGAATGATACAAGTTGGTCCTCCTTACACTCTTAGTTTTCGCGTCAAATTTTATTCCTCAGAACCGAACAATTTAAGGGAAGAATTAACGAGGTTTTAAACCATTTTTTGAAAATATACATATTATATTCATCAGAGATCTTAGAAAAGTTTTATCGTAAAAAAAACATAAAACCGGGGTTGGTTCTGGTCTAAGAAATTTTTTTTTATACTACAAAATTCGGGCCCTGCATATTTATAAAATTAATTTTTTTTAATTAATTAAAATTAATCAGTTGAAATAATCATATGACCAGTTTAAAAGTCCTTTTACCACGCATATTTCTAAATTCCCTTTTCGAACAATTTACTAAACATGGTTAAAGTTTATTCAAATAAAGAATTTTTTATGAATTCCCGGGTAGAGTGGTCAACAATATAAAATACGCTCGGGACGTAAGATTGATCTAACCATGTTAAAAAAAAATTTTTTTTTAAAATAGATATCAATTCTTCCTCCAGCTCAAGAGGGAAATATTAACTGGCAAATTACCATGTCCTTATGAAACCTCCGTCGAATTATCTGCTTACGCCTTACAATGTATTTATTTTAAATTTTTTTCCTCCCTTTTCGGAGTTTGGAAACCGAAAATTAATTTTAAAATTTCCAGGCTTCCGGAACCGGTTTGCATCTGAATGAATTATAAACCGCATCTGAATCTTAATATCAACTAAATATAGAAATAAGTATTTTAATAAGTGCAGAAATGATTATAAAGATCTTTGATATAATATTCTAATAAATTTTTTTGTAATATACCGAAAAATTATATATTTCAGGATTAACGAACGTACAAAAATTCATTTATCTATCACAACAAAATTTTAGCAATGAATTAAAACTTATTGCAAAATATTAATAAAACTAAAAAACTAATAATTTAAATACAAACAAACAAAAATTGCCGATTTCAACCCTACTTTCCAGCCTATAAGTTATGTTGAGTAATGCTTCTCAAAAGTCAGGATCGTGCATTAAATGTTTGCAGCAGTTTTTTTGTTAAAGAAATACTAACCTTAGTGTTGGTTCTAGAGGCCGCTCCGAAGCCCGAAACCGAAGATAAAAATTATTACCTGCCGGCCTGAAAAACCCGATAAAGAATTTTTACTGTCGGTCCTTTCGTCCGGGTCACGCCTCCCCCTAGTGGTGGAGGGGGGGATTCTCTTTAAATAAAGAACAACATATTATTTTAAAGATTTATAACATAAATGTAAATAATGGTAATATAATATCGTAGCATTTAATTGTAGTATTCGATTTTCCTATTTTATTTTAAGCCGAACTTGGTGATTACAGTGAAGACATCCACACTCCCTCCTTTATCTCGGAATTCAGATTCGTTCCCGATCAAACGGAACACATGGAATTGGACATCATAGAGGCGTACAAACAGAAAAAGTATATGGAAATTTTTGTTTATTTATTTAGTTTTGTAAATTTGTTATGCACGAGAAGCCATCGGCTGTGTATTGTAGTGTTCTATATATCGCCATGTTCTAGGGATTTGATAACTAAAATATTTTTATATCTATAATTTTGAAGCAAATTTACTATATTTAATCCGCTTATTTATAAAGTTTTGCAGTGGAACCGTACATTTAAAACGTTAAAAGCGGAAAGCGTTAAAACGATAAATACAATATTTACTAAAATTTAAATTTCGAATTATTTTTGCTTTTTTACGCAGAGTGAATATAAAATTTATTTGCATAAATAAAAAATAAATGAAAAGTCAACATTCTAAATATTCCGTTAGTTAATCTCTTTACTTAACTTGAAAAAAGAAGGAAAGAAAGAAAGAAAGAAAATAAAATGATAATTTTTTTAACCCTGTAAAATATAATAACCAAGGTTATTTCAAAAAAATGGATCAAATTTAATTTTAATAAGCAACACATTAGATTATATTTTTTTGTCCTGGTTTGCCTTATTTCTAAACAATAATCTGTATACCCGTACATATTACTTCCTCTAATCGGCTTAAAAAGATAGAAGTTATTTCGGTTAACGTTGGTAAAATGTCTTTGTCACTCTTTCCAAACCAAGACATTTATTTAATGTACACACTTAAAACAAACCAAAAATAGGGTGTCTTAATTCAAAATCTATTCAACCTGGGGAAACAAAAATAAATTTTAAAAATGATACCTTTATTTACTAATATACTTATTTTTAAAAAATAAATTTAGGAATCAAACACCCGCCCAATCCGAAACGAATTACCTAAATAAAGTCAAATGGCTGGATTTATACGGAGTCGATTTTCACACTGTTTTGGTAAAGCCATCAATTCTTTTATTTTTTGTTCTGTGTATTATACCTTATTTTTAAAGTCATTTGAATAGAATAGTGAAGTTCACAGTTCAGTCTTTGGTTCAGGCCGACCGAACCGGAAAACGGTCCTCAAATAAAAGACTGATCAACGTAGTCCTAATAGAAAAAGTTTGATATGTCAATCGGCCCTGGTCTTAGACCCATAGAACCGTAGACCGTCACTGAAATAGAATCAAAAAAGTTTAAAGATATATAGAAGAAAAATGAGGAAGAATTTGATTTAAAATTATTAAATTTTTTTATAAAGGAGGATTGTTTTGGGGAAATGATTCGATTTCCCTAAAAATCATTATTTCATGATTAATAATCTTTAGGGTAAAGATGGATTTGAATACAGTCTTGGACTTACGCCTAGCGGTGTTCTAGTTTTCGAGAGGAAGCAAAAGATCGGATTATTTTTTTGGTAATTATTTATTTCTTATTTAATTTAAACCTTGAATCCGAGACTTAGAGAGATAGAAAATTTGTGCTCAGCCAAGAATTTTAACAAATATTCAAACTCGATTCGGAATATATTTGCTACTTTATTGACCCGATAATTTTTTATAATTGTTTTAAAAGGTAAATGGTAAAATATGAGCAATAAAGGAATATTTAAACGGTTTAATATGATTCTCAAAACAAATTTCTTTACTACCCAGATTTTTTATTTTTTTTAAAAAAATAAATTTAAGCTCGGGCTGAATTTTTAAAATCATACCATTTTTGGCCCGTTCCATGATTTAATCAAATCGATTAAAATCAATTATTAATTTGATTAGAAATTATTCTTTTTGCTTGTAATTTAAATTATTAGTTCTAATTTTTTAATTAAAAAACATCTTAAATTGTAATTAATTGCTAAAATTAATTAATAAAAATTATTTTTATAATAATTGTGTTAATCGTAAAATTTATTTTTTAAAACAATAGAGTTGTTTAAAAACGAATAACCAATAATCGAAAAATATTACGAAACCTGTAGATTTTTACTCACAGATGGGATAAAGGTTTGGACATCTATTAACGAAATCTTTAATCTTGCGTAATATTAGTTTGGCTCAAATTTTAATTTGAAATTGGTTAAATCAAGCCGTTCAACAACACTAATAATAAACTCACATAAAAGAAAATATTTAAAAATAATTATTGCTTAAAATCTATGGAAGATTTATACTTTGTCCTTTATATAAAATTATGATATTAAGAAAATTAAATGCAAGTTTATCAATTTTTATTATCGTCGTTCGTCATTCTTTAAGTTTGTGTTGTCAAAACAACTGAGCTACACCTATTCTTCACATTCCCATCACCGGTAAATTTAAAATTAGAAGAACCATTCACCATTTTTTGGACAGACTGTAGTTATCTATGCTCACATAAGGACTAGCTCCATGCTTAAACGTTTAAGGGCAATGAGGATAGTGAAAATACTCGTACCCGATTTAAATAAGATTTTTAATTGGGAAGTGGTTTGGCAAAATTAATTTTTATGTTTTTCTTAGACGAAATTAATTAACTTTAGCTTTTAAGTTGATATAAGAATTTGTACTTAGATATATTAAGTTTAATGAAGTTAAATTATGGATAGAATTAGTTTATAGGAAAATACATTCGTTTAATACTTCTGACTAAGACATTTTATTAAAATAATTTTAAATTGTGGTTAAAAATGCTCCGAAAACAACAATAAACAGATACAAGTTTAAATTTTTTTTAATATATATATTCTAAAATGATTTTAAAAATTTATTTATAAAATTCAAAGTATTTAGGGTAGAAGTGTTTTGCAAACTTGATACAATTGCATGTATAACTCTTTATTTCACTAATATTTTGGGGTGAGTCAAATCATTTTATTAAACTCAATTTTCTCACGCAAACCACACTTGGGATATTTGTTTTCCTCATTTCATTATGGGTAAAGTCCCATTCTTCCCTTATTTCCTCCTGATACTGGGGTCTATAAATATGAATTAAATCATAGAGAGAATAATAAATTTTTTTAATAATTTAAAAATAAGTTAACACAGGTAGTATACATTTATTAATATATCGCAGGCCAAAAATCAATCGATTTGACTTCCGGAACAAGAAATTGATATTGGTTGTCGAAGAGGACGAGTACATGTCAGAAGACGAAAACAATGACAATCAAAATTACGAAAATGGTTTTTAAAAGAAATACATTATTTATATTTCAATTTCTTATTGATTATTAAAGCTAAAATATATTATGAGTATTAGGGGTGGGACCAATACCAATATAATATTGGTTTACAATACCAATACCAATATAAACCAATATATATTTAAATATTGGTATTGCTTTTACAACCAATACCAATTACCTAAATATATTGGTTTTGATATATTGTTTAAATACAATTTTAACCAATACCAATACCAATATTAAAAATATCATAATTATTTGGGTTTATCGTGTATAATTATATCGTGGTATTTTTTTTACTTTCATTGCAAAAACTGATTACATCTGTTATTTCTTCCAAATACTACTGTGATATCAATATTTCTGTTATTTATAATTATAGTTTATTTTTATTATGGAAGTAAATTTTTTACATGATATCTATAAATTTTATCTATTTATTTAAATAAATGAAGACCAAATAGAGTTAATAAATATAGATGCTGTTGGTACTAATAATAATAGCGATAAGGAACAAGAAGAATTATCAATATCTGATAAAAGACGAAATTCAGCAAAAATTTGGGAATTTTATATTACTTGTGATATTAAAAAAAGGCAATTTGTAATAAATGTAAACTTCCCAATTTTGGAACCTCATAACAATGGACTTGGTCCTCTCCAAATAAAATACCCTTTATGGGCATAACAATTCATTATATTCATAATGATTTTAAATTAATTAATCATTTATTAGATTTTATTCCTTTTAAATCAGCACATAATTATATTAATATTTTTAATTCTGTATTAAAAGTAAAATTTGAAATTGATTTTTTTTGCATTACATTAGACAATGCAAGTAATAATTTAGCATTTCTAAAAATTTTAAAACAAAAAGATAATTTTGATAATGTGTGCAAATGCTTTTGCCATATTATACATTTGGCTGTCATGGCTGCATTGGAACCCTTAAATACAACTTTAAAAAAAATAAGAAATTTTTAAAAAATTTTTAAACTTTTTATATCTAAATTTGATAAACTCGAAAAAATATATCTTGAAAAAAATCCACACTTAAAATTTCCTCACCCAATTTTGGATATACCAACACGTTGGAATTCAACATACCAAATGCTTGAAAGAGCAATATTGCTCAAACCCTATTTGACAACATATACCAATCATTTACAAAATACCAATCAAGAAAATTTTATTAGTGCCTTAGCCTGGAATAATATAGAAATATACCGAGAATTTCTGGAACCATTTAATTTTGCTACAGAGATGGCCTCATGTGCTAATACTCCAACAATTATTCCTTTATATTACAGTATTTTTGAGCATGTGGAGAGTTATAATAATAATCCTAATGCTATTTTAAAGACAGCTTCTTTAGCTGCCTTAACAAAACTTAATAAATACTATAATTATAATACACACCTCTTTATTATTTCAACAATGATTGACCCAAGATTTAAACTATCAAGTCATTTATTAAAGCAAAATAATATGGAAACTCTTATTGGATATCTTACTAATGAATACAATATTTTTAAATAAATAATAACAATTCAGCGGAACTTACAAATGAAGCACAAAATAACAAAAAATTATCCTTTTATGACAAAATTTATCAGGTGAAACCTCATAATAATAACAACTTAGAAATAAGTAAATACGTAGATGAAGCAACAATTTCCAATGATACAAATCCATTTAGATTGGTGGAAATTAAATTAAAATAGATATCCAGTATTATCAAAAATTGCCAGAGATTATCTAGCAATTCCGGCCACCTCATCTAGCTCTGAAAGGGCTTTTTCAGAAGATCGGTATGTTATAACAGACCAACGTTGTTCACTAGATGAGCATACTATACAAGCTTGCCTGTGCCTAAAAAGTTGGATGCGCATGCAAGATTCTTCTTAAATACAAAATTATTTCCTCTTCTTATATTAAAATTATATCATTCTTTTGCATTATATTTTGTATAAATAGACAGTTATGTTACATTTTTAGTTTACTTATTTTGCTATGTTCTTTGTGATAAATAAAATGGTTCAAAATCAATACGTTTATTATTGTTGATACAAAAAATGCATGATTAAATCAAAATTTTTTATATTCAGATTCACATCACCTAATAAATTCCTAGTTTAAAAAAAGAATTTGAATTCAATAAAATTTTGAGATTTGGTTCTTAGCCCTGATTTTATGGTATCATGATTTTTTTTCCCATGTTTATTTAAAATTAGAAATTAAGGGTTTTATAATCACTATTTCTATTCTTTTAATTAGTAATTTGAATTTAAACCAATACCAATATAAACCAATAGTTACCAATATAAACCAATACCAATAGCAATACCAATACAAGAAATAGAAAATATTGTTTAAACCAATACCAATATTTTAGACCCAATACCAATACAATATTTTGTTAATATTGGGTTTTTACTATTGGTTCCCAGCCCTAATTATGATCATGTAGCCTAGGGAGCTATAACTAGAGTGAAAAGACAGTGAAACTGCTCGGAGTATTTGTTTTAATGACATCTTCCTGTAAAACAGACTGGAGGAGGGAAATTCTAATGCAGGCTAAATTAAGAATTTTTCGTTCTCCCAATTGGTAAGTGTAGCACTGGCTGGCTTTTACGGTCGAAAGATTAGGAGGTTCTAGTAAGCATGGAAATCGTTAAGATATTTTGATAATAGATAATTGATGTTCTCATGGTGCAAGCAAACTTTAAAAGGAAAGAAATTTTTTAAAATAAATTTCGGATTCTCTGAAGAAAATGTGAGAAATCCTAAATTTAATTAAATTCTATTAAATATCCATAGGGAACAGGTTAAAGTGAAGTGAAAATACTCTCTAAAGAAATCATAAAACCAACTGAAAATAACGTTTTGTTCGGGCCCGTGAAATCACCCATTCACAGTGATCATCTTTTATAACAATGTTTTATAATTAAATTTGTTATCGTGGTTGTCAAATAGCAATCTGTTAATTAACGACCAAATTTTTACTAAAATGCAATATGCACACTAATTTTTTAATAATATATATCGACGGAATCCCGCAGTCGCCTCCGATAATACAACATCCCCTGTAGCACGGAATCGCCTATTTAACTTCAGGAAAAAAAAATCTGGGACGACGCCACAGTCGAGATTCGGCAATAATAAATTTGTATATACTCATTAAGGCTGGGAACCAATAGTAAAAACCCAATATTAACAAAATATTGTATTGGTATTGGGTCTAAAATATTGGTATTGGTTTAAACAATATTTTCTATTTCTTGTATTGGTATTGCTATTGGTATTGGTTTATATTGGTTTATATTGGTATTGGTTTAAATTCAAATTACTAATTAAAAGAATAGAAATAGTGATTATAAAACCCTTAATTTCTAATTTTAAATAAACATGGGAAAAAAAATCATGATACCATAAAATCAGGGCTAAGAACCAAATCTCAAAATTTTATTGAATTCAAATTCTTTTTTTAAACTAGGAATTTATTAGGTGATGTGAATCTGAATATAAAAAATTTTGATTTAATCATGCATTTTTTGTATCAACAATAATAAACGTATTGATTTTGAACCATTTTATTTATCACAAAGAACATAGCAAAATAAGTAAACTAAAAATGTAACATAACTGTCTATTTATACAAAATATAATGCAAAAGAATGATATAATTTTAATATAAGAAGAGGAAATAATTTTGTATTTAAGAAGAATCTTGCATGCGCATCCAACTTTTTAGGCACAGGCAAGCTTGTATAGTATGCTCATCTAGTGAACAACGTTGGTCTGTTATAACATACCGATCTTCTGAAAAAGCCCTTTCAGAGCTAGATGAGGTGGCCGGAATTGCTAGATAATCTCTGGCAATTTTTGATAATACTGGATATCTATTTTAATTTAATTTCCACCAATCTAAATGGATTTGTATCATTGGAAATTGTTGCTTCATCTACGTATTTACTTATTTCTAAGTTGTTATTATTATGAGGTTTCACCTGATAAATTTTGTCATAAAAGGATAATTTTTTGTTATTTTGTGCTTCATTTGTAAGTTCCGCTGAATTGTTATTATTTATTTAAAAATATTGTATTCATTAGTAAGATATCCAATAAGAGTTTCCATATTATTTTGCTTTAATAAATGACTTGATAGTTTAAATCTTGGGTCAATCATTGTTGAAATAATAAAGAGGTGTGTATTATAATTATAGTATTTATTAAGTTTTGTTAAGGCAGCTAAAGAAGCTGTCTTTAAAATAGCATTAGGATTATTATTATAACTCTCCACATGCTCAAAAATACTGTAATATAAAGGAATAATTGTTGGAGTATTAGCACATGAGGCCATCTCTGTAGCAAAATTAAATGGTTCCAGAAATTCTCGGTATATTTCTATATTATTCCAGGCTAAGGCACTAATAAAATTTTCTTGATTGGTATTTTGTAAATGATTGGTATATGTTGTCAAATAGGGTTTGAGCAATATTGCTCTTTCAAGCATTTGGTATGTTGAATTCCAACGTGTTGGTATATCCAAAATTGGGTGAGGAAATTTTAAGTGTGGATTTTTTTCAAGATATATTTTTTCGAGTTTATCAAATTTAGATATAAAAAGTTTAAAAATTTTTAAAAAATTTCTTATTTTTTTTAAGGGTTCCAATGCAGCCATGACAGCCAAATGTATAATATGGCAAAAGCATTTGCACACATTATCAAAATTATCTTTTTGTTTTAAAATTTTTAGAAATGCTAAATTATTACTTGCATTGTCTAATGTAATGCAAAAAAAATCAATTTCAAATTTTACTTTTAATACAGAATTAAAAATATTAATATAATTATGTGCTGATTTAAAAGGAATAAAATCTAATAAATGATTAATTAATTTAAAATCATTATCAATATAATGAATTGTTATGCCCATAAAGGGTATTTTATTTGGAGAGGACCAAATGTCCATTGTTATGAGGTTCCAAAATTGGGAAGTTTACATTTATTACAAATTGCCTTTTTTTAATATCACAAGTAATATAAAATTCCCAAATTTTTGCTGAATTTCGTCTTTTATCAGATATTGATAATTCTTCTTGTTCCTTATCGCTATTATTATTAGTACCAACAGCATCTATATTTATTAACTCTATTTGGTCTTCATTTATTTAAATAAATAGATAAAATTTATAGATATCATGTAAAAAATTTACTTCCATAATAAAAATAAACTATAATTATAAATAACAGAAATATTGATATCACAGTAGTATTTGGAAGAAATAACAGATGTAATCAGTTTTTGCAATGAAAGTAAAAAAAATACCACGATATAATTATACACGATAAACCCAAATAATTATGATATTTTTAATATTGGTATTGGTATTGGTTAAAATTGTATTTAAGCAATATATCAAAACCAATATATTTAGGTAATTGGTATTGGTTGTAAAAGCAATACCAATATTTAAATATATATTGGTTTATATTGGTATTGGTATTGTAAACCAATATTATATTGGTATTGGTCCCACCCCTAATCATAATGGGTCTAACACCTTTATACAATTGAAAAAGGGACTTAGTCGTCTTAACGAAATGGACAATCTTCTTAAATTAATTACCACCTGAGGAGGTTGAGGTTTTAAATTGACCCAAATCGACCAATTTCTTTTTGAAGAAGAAGTAGAACTAGGAATCATTAATAAAATGTCACTTCACTTAATGGGCATGGTGGGAGCTCATTCCACTAACTTGAGCCCACATCTGATTGTTTCTTATAGAAGATACTGCTTTCCACATAGCTATTACACATGTCACTTTTAATTCTGAAATTTATAATATCACTTGAAATATTTTGATCATCACCACCTTGTAAAATGCTTAATTGTATCATATCGCATACTTCATTAAATTCACTACTAGCGAGATGCTTCCCTTGATACAGGGGACCCAATGAATAAGCAACATTGCCCGTTTTTCAAACATATTTAATTTTTTTCTTCAGATTTTTTAGAATATTTGACCAGACTTTGTCAACCCTGCCTTATACGTTATTTTTAAAACATGTATATATTTATTTTTAAATTAAAAAAATAGTGTTCACTTTTATTATCATTTTCTTGGTGGGTCTAAAATTTATAAGAGTGGGTGACTTTTCACCATACATTTTATTGGAAAGATATAGGCCCGCTATTTGAAGGCATTACTTATATTACATAAATTCCAATATGGTCATTATTTTAATAAATTATTAAACAAAATATTTTACTTATATTTTGGGAAGATTAGGGGGAGGTAGGGGGTAAGCTTAAAATGATAAATACGAAAATGGGCAAATTTGCTAAGGGTGCAGTGTTACATTTCAATATTCATTATTCATTTATAAACTTTCAATAAATAAATCGGAAATATAGAATGTTAATACCGGGAAATAAGCAAAAATACGTTTATAGGAGTGTGGGTTTGTGGAGATTAAAATAAATAAAATGTATACATTTTATTTCGATATAACGCAGACCAACCGGTCATGGTCAAGAAGGAGCACACATTCGTTTTCAGGACCCATAACTACAAAGCCGCTAAACATCTGTGGAAGTGCGCCGTTCAATATCATTGCTTTTTCCGCCTTTTGCATACGACCCAAAATGCCGAACCAGGAAAAACGTCCCACCACACTTATCAAAAAATTTCTCAAGTCAACGACAACAATTTCTTCAGGATGGGGTCGCGTTTTAGATATAGGTAGACTATCACATTTTATTATATATACTATAATCAACCTTATGATCTTTTAAATTTTTAAGGGTAATTTAAAAATTAATGGAGATGTACAGGATTAAATTTTTTTTTCCCATCGTGAACGATGCCTGATCAAATTCGTTTTTTATTAAATACTATGCCAGGTTTGGTAGTTATTCAAACCACTGCTGAAGAATGATTTTTTATAGTTATTCTTTTAAATGATGATATTTTGGTAGATATCATGATAATTCACTTAAATAAAGATTTTTATATAATATTATTTTTTTTACATGTATAATTCTAATTATGATGAGAGAGATATAATAATATCAATCTTTTCTTTAAAAAAAGATTGATATTTCTATAATTTTTACGAAATTAGAGGTCCTTATTTAAAGAATCAAATATGAATATTTTTCCACTTCTACGATTTTACGTTAGGTATTAAAAATAGAAGAATTTTTTTGATGCTCTTTAGCCAGTCTGCATTATAGATAATTGATATTGATTTTATCGTTTGGTATTGATTTACTTACCGTTTTGGATTGATTTAATTTTATTCATAGCACAAGTAAAACTGCGGACCCCCTGTCATTAAAAAACGTTATTACTTAAAATTCTTTTTATGTTTTGTCCGAATCCTTAAGGTAGCTTATATTTTTAGGTATAGTAAATATGCGCAAAATTTTGATTTTTGTTTGATAGTTTATTGAGTTATAACTGTTTTCTTGGACCTTGGGTTCGCTTAGACCCATCCTAATCATGCTAGCAACTCTTTTCATCTTGTTTCAACATTTTTATAAATTAAAAATTATATTAATATTTGAACTTTAGATAAATATTTTTCATCATCAATTTTGTATATTTTTTAAAATATATATATATATCAATATTGTGGCATTTTAAAAAAATATTCCGTTTTTTTATTCTCTTGGCAAAAACAATTGTCATGAAATCTTAAATTCTTAAATTGAAAGTTATCACTAAATTAAAGTTTATTAAATAGTTGTTTTTTTAAAAAAATAGCTACAAATTGATTTGATTTGAAGATATGGCATATCCTAATTGGAATCCTGGAACCCCTCCTAATCTTTCTTACAATTTTTTTTCATCTGTCATGAATGAAGGGTCAAAAAAGGGTACATTATGACCAAGGATGCACCGATACCGCCATTTTGGCTGATACCGATACTAACACGATATCGGCCCATACCCATAAAAACCGGAATGTACTGACATGAATTTGTAAACATGAACAAACCGATTAAATTTGTTTAAAAATAACCGGAAAACCGTTATGCCTTAAAGTTCAACACCTTATAGTTTTAACCAAAAATTTTAAAGAAACAAAATGATTTTTTTTACAATATATACTTAAGCTTTCCACATGTAATATACCCCCAAATATTTTTAAAAAAACGTGTAAAAAGAAGGAATTTTTTTGTTTCTATACTTCAACCTTGTTCCACGACCCCCTCCACCGGGAGCTCACGTCAATTATGGTGAGCCTTTTTCCCGAATAATTATGCCTGTTTTTTTTACAAGGCTGACAACGAATTTTGTTACCCAGCAAAATGAAATTTATGTTATCAATGATAGCTCTAAGAACTCATACTATTTGTAGTTATTTATTTTTATCTCCTCCCCAGAATCTCCAAAAAGTGTAAGGAAGATTTAGTTAAACCACGGGAGTATCAATATACTCACATTTTATATAATTTAATTCTTGCAATCTTTACCAAAATATTTTACTGTCGTTTGATTACAAAAATCTTTTTATCATTTAACGCCAACTAACGGATAAAACTTTACTAAATTTTAAAATTGTTAATAAAATTTTGGGATATTACAATATTGACGATATATCACCGATGTAATTAAACACATAATCTATTTATATATATTAGCTATACTATATATTGTATATATTTATATAATAAAACCTGCCTAATTTCGGCACCAAGCGAAGCAAGAATTTTGTCCAACTTATAGATTTGCCCGATTTATCATGACATTTTAATTTTTTTGAAAAAAAAAACATTTTACCATCTGTTATGCTCTTAGTTTAGCAAAAATTGATTATGTTTAACCTAAATTATTTTATTAAAATAATTTTTATTACACAAATAATATGATTGGGATCCCCTTTTCCTAGAGTCACTTAGCCTATAGAAAGATCTTTCTCCTAATAAAAGTGTCAAAATATTTTGCTCATTTACTATTAAATTTAATATTAATCTTTAACAACTTTTTCAAGCTTTTAGACCAAACGGCATTTTGTTAGTACTTTTGATTATTTACTTTTACATTTGCTAATATATTATTAAGTCCTTTTGGCGCTTTTGCGAAACGGCATTTTGCTTATTTATTGTTTCATTTGCTCAATATTATTAAATTTGGCACTTTTTTGCGTGCTATGACATCAATTTTGCTAATTACATTTGCTCATTTTTTTATTATTAAATTTGACTATTTACTATTATTTTTGTTCCTTTGACACTTTTTGGCTCATTTGGGCTAAACAAAATTTAACTAATTTGTTACCAACCTCTTGTACAACCAGAATTTTTGGATCAACTTTCTAATATCGAAATCTTTAATCCGGTTAAAAATGATTAATAGGGAGTTATTTTTTTTACCTTGAAGTCGATCAATGAGTCAACAAATCGACGATCTATTTAGTCGCTCAGGTTCAGAGTCGAGTTTTGTACCCACAATTTGACCCGGTTGTGATTTTGTCCACTCGATTAATCCTTTAACACTACTAGTCCATTTGCTGAATTAATAAATATATTTTTTAAAACAAATATGACGGTTCGCAATAAAATACTGCAAAAAATAAAATTTAGGATATATTTGAATGTTATATTTTCAAAGAAAATCATAAGTTTAATATTTACTCTTAATTTTATTATGCTAAACCTTCATTAAATTATCAAATATTTGAATTTAATTCATAACATTAAAAATAGAAAATGATAATAAATATTTCGAGTTTTTGGACATTCTTTCTCTATATGCTCCTTTTTTTAAAAAATCGATTTTTTTGCACCATCAGGTCAGTGGCGATTTGTTCCCAGTGCGGTACGAAGTTATATACAAGGGCGGATATTTCAATTCGTCATGTTTTTTTTGTTTGTTTCTCAAACTTTTTTTTAAAAAAAATGAAATATCAGCGGTAAAACAGAATTCCAAGCCACCTTTCAAAACAAGGCTAGAAGATCGGTTCAGATAGAAAGGAAACCCAGCCAGAGATACTCAAGGAGACCAAACGTTAAATCATCCGCCCCGAATTCTTCAACGCCAGGCGCGCGAACTGTTCTATCTCCCGTGACCTCAAATGCAAATAATAGTCCCGCCATTATTAAAGGTTTATTACCCACCAAGTTATAAATTAATAATTAAATTTTTATTTGAAAGAATTTCCCTCTACTAATTTATAAATATAATTATAGTTTGAATAGATTGGGTCTTTTAGGAGGCTATATTACTAACTCAGCTGTTGATTTAATAAAATTTTATATATCAGAAATATGCAGAACTCAAAAATTTTAAGTTCGACCCGCCCCGGGTTTTTAAAGCCCGGTCCTGAATTTAAAATTTTTTTTTTATTTTGCAACAACAAAATTACGGAATAGTATTTCGCGAAGTATTTCGAAAGGAAAATTTTATAGTAGCAGTAAACGATCCATAACATATTAAATAATATTTTTTTAAAAAAAATATTTAAAATCAACCCATCCCCGCTTTTTTTTAAGTTGTGTCCTAAATATCAAAAATATTAAATTTATTAATTTTGAAGAAAATAATGCTTTGTCCTAAATCTAAAAAATATAAATAAAAAAATTTATTAAATTTGAAGAAAAAAATAATAGAAATTAATAATTTTGAATAATATATTTTTCAAAATCTATTTAATTTGCGTAATTTTTATGAAAAATCTCTAAATATTTGGCATTGTTATTTTTCATAGTTTATTCTCGTTTATTTGTGTTTTTTTTTTCATTTTTGTTTATTTTTTGGTTATGTTTTTTTTTCGTCTTATTATATCTTAATTTTTATAAAACTTTTTAAAAAAATAATGGAAGATTTTGGACATGTTTTATAATTTTATTAAATTGCGAAAATTTATAGATTTGAAGTTTTTTTAAAAAACATTTAGGACACAACCTTATGTAAAAATAAAATGGTGTCCTAAATTTCGGCTTTATTTAATTGTATAATTTTGAAGAAAAAACTAGTAAATAATATTAAAATATTTGGTGGCAATTGTTATTTTTCGTATTTTATTCTCGTTTTTATATTTTTTTTTATTTGATTTTTACAATATTTTAAAATAAAAATTAATAGAATATTTCGAACATGTTTCATAATTTTATTAATTTGCGAAAATTAAACTTTGTATTTTTTTTTCAAAATATTAAGGGACACCACAGCCTTATGAAATAAATTGTATATTATTATTATATTTTAAGCCTTGCGGATTTATATTTAATTTATAACATTTTTCTTGCCGGGCCTGCATTTCTGATGTAAAGTTTTTATAAATAAGATTAATAAGAAAAAAGATCGACACTTATTAACCAGTTATTAGAAAAAAAATCAAATGAATTATTTAAGACTAAGGATATCTGCATAAAATGAACTGAAGCGTTAAAATATAATTTACTGAACCGTCGACCCGTTATTTTTCTTACCTGAACCGTTAAAAAATTTGTCTCTCAAACCCGAAAAAGAAAAAGAGGAATAATCTATTTTTGTAATGAAAAAAAATGATTGAATATGTCGTAATTTTTAAAAGGATCATAACTATCCTTATCTTCACGGGATTCAATTTTTTAAAGGATATAGAATTATACGGCATTATCACGTTTTAATCGTTATAAAGAGGAATCTTATTTTAAAAAGCATTTTCCGCGCGTTTCGTTACGTTTTTTAATTTTATTGTTATTCATTAATTTTCAATGTTGTTTTTTTTTTGGCCTTATGAAATAAGATATGTCTAATATAGGGTAGCAATCGATAGCTAATCAAAAGATCTATTCAACTGGAGGTCAATCTCTGCCATAATGAGCAGGTCAAGGTCTTGGGGGGTCAGTTATATTTTTATCAACACAAAATATCGATATGGGTATCAAATAAAAGCTAATTTTAATATCGTTTGACTGAAAGTCTTCATTCTTGGTCTGGGGGGGGGGGGGTGTAAAGATAATTTTTTTTGATATGGGTATCAAATAAAGACTAATTTTAATATCGTTTGACTGATAGTCTATATTCTTGGTCTTGATGGGTATGACTTGGTCTGGGGGGAGGAATGTAAAAATAATTTTTTTTGATATGGGTATCAAATAAAAGCTAATTATCGTTTAACTGAAAGTCTTCATTCTTAGTCTGGGGGTGGGGGGGGGGGGGTGTATACAAATTTAACTCTTCATTGTTATATATTTTTTATTTTAAACAAGATTTCACCACAGTTTCTAATGAGACTTGCAATACTTTATACCTGCTTTATAACAATAATAGTACTGATAAACCTGAGGGTGTAATGTTACAAAATAAAAAGGGGAAATTCTTATGAATCATTTTACAATATTGAATATATTCTTTCGGAGGGAACAAAATATAAAATTGGCAATATAATATTATGGAAAGATAAATATACTACAAACTCGATAGGCAACAGCATCGAAAATATTTTAGCCAGATTACCTTCTTTTATTTCATATTTAATAGATAGGAATAAGCAACAGAATGCTTATAAAAATAAAATTAAAAAGATAAAATTTTGCATTGGGGATCGCGTATTGATCCCAATAAATAAAAATGATGGATCTCAGGCGCGTACGTAGGAATTTGGTATGGGGGGGGGGGGGGGGGGGTGATTAAAATATTTATAAATATTGTTATTTAAAAATATCAAGCATAAATTTTTTTAAGACTAGTAACTATTTCTAATACAGAATTTTCAATTAATGTGAATTTTAAAAAATAAATATATAAACCGGCATGAATACTAAAATAATGTGAAAAAAATATTAAACGGGTATAACAGGCGGCATATAAAAAACTACAAAATAATTATAAAATATTAAAAGCGTCTGCGGGAGGGGTAGAAAGAGTTTGCATCCTATTTTTTGAGGGGGATAGGCTGTTTTAATGGGGTAGGATAAATTTTTGGGGGGTTATCTATTAAATTTTGAGATTAAATAGGACAAAATTTATTGCTTAATACTTTTATTATAGAATTATTATAATACAATTCATAGACCAAATTTATATATTGCAAACAATCATACACATTGTTTTCCAAATAAAACTTCCTGCTATCCTTTTTAAATATAATTTAGAAGTTTAAATATTTCAGCAAGCTCATAATGCCATAATAATTAATTCATTGTAAATAATGGAAGTTTAATTGAATTTATTATCTAAAAAATTAATTCTTTATATTCACAAAATATCGATAGTTGGTAGTAGAGATAGATTAATTTAAGTTATCCTTTATAAATTCTCTGAAAAGAGTATCAGTATAATAAGATGAAAATAATAATGAGGATACACCGCCACCGAAGGTGGTAAAAATCTACTTGGGGGGGGGGGGGTAAGCAAAGTTTTTTTTTTTGGGGGGGGGGGGGGGGGGTTTGCATCCAGTAAAAATCCTGTCATGTAGACGCTGAGTGGATATAACCAGCATATAAATCACTATAAAATAAATGACCCAAAATAGAAATTTAAATTTTTTGAGCCTTTAAAATTTATATATAAAGTTTAAAAATTTAAATGTTGGAAATATAAATTATTACAGAAGTTTCTTAGGAATAATTATATTTTGTATGTAATAACTTAAAAAGTATTCATGAAAAAATATATCGCACAAAAAATATTATTAAGAAGCATTTTATAAATTTATAATGTAAAATCCAATCTTCATTCGGATTGGGTTAATTTTTCAATTATCTCATCTGTGCTTGGCATCAAATGCCTAAAATATTGTCAGAAGTTTTACTCCTTAGGTATGTTTTTATTCTTCTTAAAGAAGGGAATGTTCTCTCATTAGTTGCAGTACTAATGTGAAAAGTTACTAATATTAATAATTTTAATACATTGGGAAAATAATCTTAAAGATTCTTTTTAATTTTATTTTTGTAAGCATTCTCTTGCTTATTCCTATCTATTAAATATGAAATAAACGAAGGTAATCTGGCTAAAATATTTTCGATGCTGTTGCCTATCGAGTTTGTAGTGTACTTATCTTTCCATAATATTATATTGCCAATTTTATATTTTGTTCCCTCCAAAAGAATATATTCAATATTGTAAAATGATTCATAAGAATCTCCCCTTCAGTACTATTATTGTTATAAAGCAGGTATAAAGTATTGCAAGTCTCATTAGAAACTGTGGTGAAATCTTGTTTAAAATAAAAAATATATAAAAATGAAGAGTTAAATTTGTATACACCCCCCCCCCCACCCCCAGACCAAGAATGAAGACTTTCAGTCAAACGATAATTAGCTTTTATTTAATACCCATATCAAAAAATTTTTTTTTACCCCCTCCCCCCCCCACCTTCCAGACCAAGTCATACCCATTAAGACCAAGAATGAAGACTTTCAGTCAAACCATATTGAAATTAACTTTTATTTGATACCCATATCGATATTTTGTGTTAATAAAAATATTTCTGACCTATCAAGACTCTAACTATGGAGGAGAGATTGACCTCCAGTTGAATAGATCTTTTGATTAGCTATCGATTGATACCCTATATTAGACATATCTTATTTCATAAGGCCAAAAAAAAACAACATTGAAAATTAATTAATAACAATAAAATTAAAAAACGAAACGCCCGGAAAACGCTTTTTAAAATAAGATTCCTCTTTATTACGATTAAAACGTGATAATGCCGTATTATCATTCCTTAACTTAAAACCCTAATTTTTTAGTTATCCCTTTAAAACCCGTGAAGATCCCGGATAGTTATGATCCCTTTAAAAATTACGACATATACATTTGAAATTATTTATTTTTTTTAATTTCAAAGTTGATAGTTAAGGAGGATAGATGTCATGAATTCGTTTACCAAAGTTTTTAATAAAATCTTCACGTCCCCAAAAATTTTTTATGCAAAATATCTAAACAATAATTTAAATGAAAAATAAGTAGAAGTTAATATTTTTTTATTAATAATTACATTTAAAATTAAAAATTTTTAGAAATTTTTTTTAAATAAACATAATAAATTATATATTTAAAATGTAACTAAAGACCTACAATAAATAGACCTGAAGTTCTCCAATAAGATATATTACGAAAAAAATCTGCATAATAATGCTTTACATTCCCCCCCCCCCCCATTCTCGTTAGCAAAATCTTGGATACACCTACAAATTATACGAATTTTTTTTTACAAGTTATTAAGCTTTTTTAAAAAGAAATTTCCGTTTTCAATTGTTTCTTTATTTAATTAAGTATAATAAAAAAATTTTTTAATAGACAATATATTAAGCAACGAAGATTGCAGTTTTTCCGTTCTTTCATCCTCTCCAAAGTTACTCAAGATGAGTCCCATTAAAAATACGGAAAATTCTTTACTTATTAATAAACCCATTGAAACGAAACAAAATTTTGCCCTTAATACCAGTAATGATGATAATAAAGATACTAGCGTTTCAATGCTCAAAATCAGTCGGGAAAAGATGGCTACCACTAAAATAGAAAAAAAGGGGGATAGAATCGGCGGCGATACCATAGAAATAATTGAAAGGAAAAACAAAATCAATTATTCTCAGCCCAAAGAAAATTTCTTTGAAAGTACCGCGATCGCTAGGGAAATTATAACCGATAAAACTGAGAAGCCGAGACTGACTCTTACTACCGATGATAAGAAAGAAAAGGTCATGTTTGCGGATCTTAAATACGCGAAAATCGAGCCGGAGGAAGATATTTACATAAGCATGCTACCATCATCTCCTGCTTCCAAAAAGAAAGATAGCAACCAGTCGTCCATGGATAGTAACCTGATTAGCCGGCTTACCACTAAACCTTTATTCGCTAGTGACAAAGATGACGAGAGTCAAAATAAGGTTCCAGCCAGTCTTAGTTCTTCCTCGAGGGATAAACTTATTAACTCCCCATTACCCGAGATCAAGGGTATTGCAACAACCAATACTATTACTAATAATAATAAAAATTCCCTTTTAGGGATAACCACCCGTTTAGATGCAAAAAAATCGTCACAAACGGGGGAAAGGGATTGTTTACTTGAAAACGAAGATAAAACCGACACGAGTTTAGGTCACGATCTGATTAGGATTACATGTTCACCCAGAAATACTAAAAGATTGTTAGACGATTACGACTGTTTATCGGGCAAATCTAATGGGTAAAAAAAATTTAATAAAATAAATAACATTATTTTATTTATTTATTTTTTAATTATAATTTTCTCAACCCTAACCTATCCGTTATAAGATTATGCGAGTTTACGAACAGGCTACATCACCCAAAAAAGATAAAATTAATCCCTGTCTGGACCGTATATCTCTAGTCCTACAGGTCGGGTCGGGACAGATCTCTAATTCTGGTCTCGACCGTTATAACGGGAGTGTGGGTGGTAGGGGGAGGGGGCGAATTAAAATATTATATTATTGGTAGATAGAATTAAATTTTTCATTCGTGTAAAATGCAAACTAAAAATTGTGTGAATAATCTTGATTCTGGCGTCTATCTTTCTTTCTTGCTATAGTTTTTTCGATATTTTTAAAATGTGATCTGGTTTTTATATTTGATCTGGGCTCTGGATCTCATTTCAAATCTCTTGACTAGTGTTGTTTTAAAAGCCCGATCTGGGTCTATTTTTCAAAACGACTCGATTGAGTTTTAGCCAAGAATAATATTATGTAAGCATCGAGATTAGGCAGATAAATGTCCAAGAATTTCTGCCATCTATGAGAAAAATATTTAGGCTTACATAATGTTAATTTTGGTTATAATCTTAATCGGACTTTTTAACAACACTACTCATGACATATCATACATACCACATTATTTTATAAATATGATAGTTGGTTATTCCATTTTACTTGTTAAATTTTGTAAACATTTTTTTTTCCTCTAAAGACAAGCATTCGAAACGACAAATGGTCCAACTACACCTGACGAAGAAAAAGTAAATGTATAAATACTAAAATTTCTGGTCCAAAAATATTATTACCGTACGTAATTTTTTTACTTACCTTTTATATATTAGGTTTTTAATTTCATCGATTCACAGGTCACACCCATTCCATTTGTTCCTTAAAAAAAATCTTTTTTTTTGTGAAGAAAAATATAATTTCTTGAAACAATATGAGTTTTAACTGAACTAATTTTTCTATCTTCAACATATTTAATAATGAACTAACACAGGAAATAAACCCTAGCTCACTCCCGATGAATTGGGAACTTCATGGAAGCCCAAGGTCAGGCCAACTCAAATATTCTTCTCCCATCATGCGGCGGAAGTATGATATACTTTTTTTTAAAATACAATTTCTTCGTTATATCCTTTTTCCCCTCCAAAAAAATTAATATATTTTAAGAAAATGATATTACATTCTTTTTGCAGGGCCGCCCTTGGTTTGATAGAATTGTCATAATTTTTATCGTCGCTCTAAGAACTATTACATTCACTTCTATTTTAACATCTTGCCTTATAAATGTTTTGAGATCATCCTCTACTGAATACTCTCCGCAAGTTTCTTTCTCTATATGCCCTGAATCATATTAGTCTATCTAATTAATATTCACATTTATGGGCTAGGATTTGCATTTCGCTCCCTTAATTATTGTCTCAGGGTTATACTGGAGATCAGAATATGCTGGAATCATTAATATTTAAATCATTTATAGGAATACAGAAAAAACGATTTGATATTGTTGGGAATTGCATTCCAGCTTATGTATAAAAAGGGCATAAAAGTTTATTAAGAGCCGAATCTCATGATCCCTTGCCCGAATCGTGTATAAAAATTGAAATCTCCTGAGTCTGCATCCTGATTTGAGCCTTTTATTGCTAGTTTTTAAATCGTTGGTATAAATTAGCTTAGTACGCAACCGAAAAAAAAGAATTTTAATGAAATTCCAGACCCCCCCCCGTAAGATTTTTATCTCAGACCTAAATTTTTGATAATAAAAAGAAAACTCCATATTTTTTATTAATGGTATAATATAAACCACGTTTATAAAATCTTGACTTTTTTAAAACAATAAATAATATCTCTCTTACATCCAAAGCCACAATATTTGTTCCTTCTCATGAACTTTTCTCCGTTTGCGAGTGTACATCTTTTTATCTCTTTTTATAATTCTTGTCTATTCTTTTTTAAAAACTCACTAATTTTCAAAACATGACAATCAATTTTTATAAATTTTGGTATCGCAGGCCCGGACCGAGGCCATAAAATGGTAAAATTTGAAAAATCCAAACCCACCCAAAACACATTTTTTATATCCGTTCTTGGCTTGAAAATGGGGGGGGGGGGGGTTAAATCCTGACAGGGCCTAAAATTTGATCTTTGCGGGTCTTCAGCATTAATGTTTTTTTTGTTATGATAAAAGCGAATCAAATTCCTCCTTACATCGTAATAAGAACGTGAGATTTAACCCGGAGATAGTCACTATAGCTCGCCCGGCCTCCTCTCTCTACAGCAGTTTGAGCGGCGAAGATTCGTGCTCCAACAACCGCGTCAACCAAATCGATAACTCCGAAAATTCCGAGGACAGTCCCGTCGATGACGAGGTTTTGATTTCTTAGCAATAACCTCATTAAATTTTTTTTACATTTATTAAAGGAATAAGCTAAATGGAAGAAAGAAAGATTTTTTAAAAAAGATAAGAAAGTTATCACGATAGAAGAGAAAATTATAATGAGTTAAGGGGAGATATGAGCTTATAGTGTAAGAATGGGAAAAAGTAATCGTTTTTTATGTAATTTTGAAAAAATTTCTGGACACTGAACCTGAACCTGGTTCAGAGATTTTTCGCTGAACCTTTTTTTTTAGGAGCCTTGATTATAAATACATTAATATTATCTGAATTCTCTTTACATTTTAAATTCAAGATTTAGCAAAAGCTTATCATATTTTTAAAAAATTCTTCCAATTTATTATGGGATGTTTTTAAAGGAATTAGAGTTAAAATTTAAAAAGTAAACTTCATAAAGAAATTTTATTAGCATTTTTTTTGACATTTCGATTAAAAAGACAAATGAAACCATCTCTCTTCCTAAGCCTCAAAAGACTTTAACGACAGAAAGCATTGAATTCAACGCACCTAGAGAACATTCCACAAATCTTATCGATAACACTGCTGACCACGCAAAACTTTTAAACGGTCATCATATTGCCTCTAATAATAATAATAATGCTGTAAATAGAAAAATTTTGATGATAACTGATATATGAAACGAATATATTTTTTTTGAAATATATTTTGTATTATTATTATTTATAGATTTCTAGTGCTAATTTTTCTTTTTAGTTGATTAATTTATCCTAATCCACCCCTCCCCCCTTTTAGGAAATGGGAACCATCACATCAAATATATCACATTCCAATTCATTCTGAAATTTTGTTTAAAAAATATATTATTTGCTCTTTAAATTTTAAAAGTTAGTTACACTATAATTAGAATTTGTTGTTCATGACATTTGTAAAAACTTGCATTTATTATTTAAAATTACTAAAGCTTAAAAAAGCACCTTAAATAAACCCAGATTTATATTTTAGTTTAGACCCAAATATTTATCATTTAAGCTTGGCGATCTCCATTTTTTTTCCAATATTTTTTAAGCACCCTTTTAGGGATCGGTTTAAATAAAAAAAATTATATATTATTTATTTTATCTTTTAATTTCTAGACATTTTGTTTTTTAAAAGAAACATTTTATAATGGCTTTTTGTTCCATTCATTTACCTTTTTTTTTTAAAAAAATACAAAACCAAACCAATTTTTTAAAATTTTATTTATTTATTTATTTTTTTTAAAAAAGATAATTTTACAGCTAACTTTAAGCATACATAAATTAATAGCATTTTTATTTATGTTACCTTTTATTCTCGAATTTTGAGTATCATTTTAAATATCATCGACTTAGTATTATAATGTTCTATATCCATTTTTTTAGGCGATTCATTTTAATAAATATATATAATAATTCTCTTATTTTAATAGGAGGAAATCAAAATGTAATAATGCAAATTAAGCATTATTCTGAATTATATTTTCACTTTTTTTAAAAATTGTTGATACGAGAAAGAATATATTACCTAAAGAATGAAGAATTGATTTATCAAAAAAAAATTCTATATAGAACACTCTAGTAGAATAAGTTTTAAAATGATACTTTACAAAAAGGAGGATTTACTTAATTTTTTTATTCTTCTTTCTTTTAAGTTATTTAATATCCTTTTAACCTAATAAGCATACCCTCCATTTTAAAGGAGATTACCGCATGTTAAGTTATGATGGGAGATTTAAATTGCAGTTATATATTTTTTTATATCACTTTTATTTGTCTCTTTCCACGTCGCGTCGTTTTTTAAAATTTCATTAAATATGTATATATATTTTTTTATAACACTATTTTTTTTAAGACCATTTTTAAAATAAACTCTTAATTTATTATTATTATGCATAGACTTTAAAAATTATATTATTCAAATTTTATAATTATTATAATAATAATGAATTTATATTATATTTGTTCAAATTTTTATAGAATATAATTAATATTGATATATTTTTTTGTTAGAAAAATTTGAAAAATAACGGATAAAGTGAACACCTTATTATTAAGTTATTAGGCTCTGACCAAATATTAAATAGACTCCTTTCTTTCTAAAATTCGAAATGGTGAATTTTTAGACTTAAACAAATAAGAACAAGGACTACATTTTTAACCTTATAGATTTTATCACCTTATGTCAAATCATCTCCGCTAGGTTTACCCAGGTAGTCCAGTTATCCCTCTGATTTTTCTTTTCCATTTTTGACGGTCCTGAAATATTTACCAAATAAATGTATAAATAAATAATTTTTACTGGTCTCTGTTATTTGTTACATTTTTTTTTGAAAAAATAAGCTTATATGAAAAATTATATTTTCCAAAAGTTTTATTGAAAAAACGTTAAATATATATAATAGAAATCTGCAGGCTTGGCCAGGAATTTTTTTAATAAATTAAAACGGGCCGGGTAAGAATTATAGGCCGGATTTTGGCGCTTTCATAACATTTTTATACTTCTAATTATATAGGATTTCTTTTTAATGGGGAAAAAAAGTTGTAAAATAAAAATAATATTCAATTCACAGATTATTTTTGAATTCCACTCTATCTCTCCTCAACCTATTTTTTATTAAAATGTATCCAAAAAGTTATAAATACTTTCTTTTCTTATACAATAAAATGTTAAATAAAAAAAACAATAGAGGTAAATAGACTATTATATGATGGATGGAATGATAATTATGAATAAAAATATGATTTTCTATATTTTTACATGATAAAAATAATTTTATTCCTTATAGGCCGGGATGACAATTTAATAAAATATTTATGGCATCCAGGACATTTTTTGAATATCAGGCTAATATTTTGATCAATATTATTAGAAAAAAATATTATAACCTGCTTATTTATGTGTATTTTAAGAGCAGTTTAACTAAAATACTAAATCTGTAAATAATATAGTTAATTATAGCAAAAAATTAAACAAGTTATTTATGATGTGATCCAATAATAAATACAGTATAGAGTTATTAAACAATGATTTAGGGTTGTTATAGAAATAGATAGCCAACCAGAAGGGAGATAATTGAAGAGCTTTAATTGGGGCTCAAAATATTTTGAGGAGCCTCGAGCCCCGCACCACCCTCCTAGTTACACTATGGTGTATTTTTAACGATCCAGGACGGGTCTGACTTTTCGTGAATTTGGGGCAGGCCTTGACAAATTTTTTAGAAAATTCCAGGCCGGGTTTTTGGCAATATTTTTAGAATTTAAAAATAAATAATACAGTTATGGAGTTTTTGTTAATGCTATAACTGCTATAATTTAAATTTTTTAAAAAAAATTAATAAGTATCCCAAATCTATTTTCAAGGTTTTAAGTATCATGTTACAATATACACATTATCATTAAACTATATATAACCGTTAATGACAAAATTATTCATGGAAAGAAACCAAATAATATTTATTTACGGAACAAATAATATTTTGATAATTTTGAGGGTATTTTTTCAAAATTTTTAGCGAAGGAAAATATAATTTATGCCAAGATTATTTTTTTAAAGAAATATATATACAAACTAACAAATCGCATTAAAAAGGTCTCAAAAATATTAACATTTTTACTTTACATTCTATTGTCGGATATCCATCTGAATAATTTTCCATACTTTCGTTTGATTATAATATTCAATTAATCCAAGATGATTACTGATCTAAAGGTTAATCATATGTTTTTTCCTTGTCATTAACATATTTTTTTGATATTTTTACTTAAAATAACTTCTTAATAAAATTTTTTGAAGAGGAAATAATTTTTAAAGGTACATGTCGAATGATAAAAATTAGATTTTATCAAGTACTTCTTTGACCCTTTATTCTCATTTGAAATGACTTAAGAAATTTAATTTATTTATATAAGCATAGATTTTGAGCTTCGTTTTATTAGTGTTCTGGATATGTGTTATGATGAACATTAGAAACGTTTCAACACAACAAAGTATATTTTTTTAAATTAAATGTTAATTTTTTTAAAAATATAAATGATGATAATCAATATTACAATCACAGGACTTATTAAAAATATATATATATGTCATTCATAGTGTTTTAACATATATGGATAGCCAATTTTTCAAACCCAAATCATTTATAGGGCGCGTTTTTTTAAATTTTGAAATATGATTCTGCTGGAATCTTATTCCAGGATGTATATAGAAGAGATCTGCAAAATCCGTCCGACAGCCCAAAACCTCTTTCAAACACCATTGGGGTGGAGAAATTTTTTAAAAAATTGGTCAGGTCAGACAAAATAATTGGGAGGGGGGGGGGGTATTTTTTATATTAAATATCGCTGTAACATTAATAGTCAGCCCTGGCACTAAAATTTTGATATATTTTTTTGAATTTCAAAGCTAGTTTGATTAAATGTGAAAGAAAGTTACAAATTAAACAATTTGTTCATGATTACGATTTATTTACAAATGAATACAGATATTAAAAGCAATCGGATATATAAAATTGTTGTTGTAGAAATAGATAGACATAGAGGAGAAATATAAAAGCCTTAATTGACATAGGGCAAAAATTAGATATAGATATTAAAAATGTGAATTCTTACAAAAAATTTAAAAGCAGGGGGGGGCTGACTTTATAGAATTTAAACAGGTCAAGCAGCTTGTACAAAAAAATTATTGGCTAGTATAGGGTGTCTTACTCTGTGAATTTAAATTAATTTTGCAAAGGGAATGAATTTGCTTATGAATTATTAATTTTATAGGTAAAAAAAAATTTTTTCCTAAAAATTATTATAATATGAAAAATTTATAGCGAAATTGTTTGGAATTTACGGGGTAGATTAAATATTCGATATATACGGGAATCTGATGGCGAAAATGAGGTTTAGTTTAAAATTTAAAAAAGTGCATTAAATAATTTTAAATTTCAAAGATTCCTGTATTACTCGGATCAATAAATCATAGCCATTAATTTGCCAAATCATATACCTCTAATATTTTATTATAGCAACAAAAGGTAGAAGTTTTAAATATTTTCTTGTATACAAATATTTTTAACAAAAGGAAGAGATTAAGTTGAATTTTTTTTTAAAGCAAATAAGAGATTCACTTTTGTTCCATATCTCGATCATCAAATAGCAATACATCAATATCAACCTAGACTGACTTTTAATTTATTTAATAGTATATATAAAGACACATCTCTTCTTTTTCTTCCTTCCTTCCTTCCTTCCTTCCCTCCTTCCTTCCTTCCTTCCTTCCTTCCTTCCTTCCTTCCTTCCTTCCTTCCTTCCTTCCTTCCTTCCTTCCTTCCTTCCTTCCTTCCTTCCTTCCTTCCTTCCTTCCTTCCTTCCTTCCTTCCTTCCTTCCTTCCTTCCTTCCTTCCTTCCTTCCTTCCTTCCTTCCTTCCTTCCTTCCTTCCTCCTTTAAAGTCATTTTTAGAACATATTATTAGTGGCATCGGACGCCATTGAAATGCATTTTCTCCTCTTAATGGCTTTCAATGGCGGACTTCATTGTATGTTTACACATTTTAGAACATTTTATTGAATGAATCGTGAGTTTAAATTAGTATTCGTTTAAATTGAACAGCCCTAATAAATTGACTAACTAATTTGTTTTTCAATTCTAATATTTAGATCTTAGAAATATATACAAATTATTATTTTAAAATAAAACTATTAAAGTAAAATTGTAATTTGTAGAACAATTGGTAAAGACATTTTAATCATTTTTCACAATTCCAATAAGTGTACCCTCAGGAATGTATGCTTATAGAGTTTAGTACATGAAGAAAAGGCTTTAATAAATTCCAAAATAGGATATACAAATATGGGAAGGCAAAATGATCTCCATTTCCTAATAATTAAGCAAAAAATTATTGTCTATATTATATTATAAATTTTGTAAATTCTCTTTCTAGTTCATTCTTACGGGAGAAAACGATTTCATGGTTGCATAATAAAACAAGGTCGACAAAGAGAACGATTGGAAATTTCACTGCCGAAAAGTTTTGGATTCACTATATGTAAGATAATTATCCAGTTTTTTTAAAAAAAAATGCATCAAATATTAATAAGGAAATTCTCTGGGTTAAAGTTAAAATTATAAATCATTTTTTATTTAAAAAATCTAACCCTATTTCATATAACACTTTCTAAAGCCAAACAAATAATAAATTATTTATTACCAAATCGCGTGGCTATTAGATTTAATAAATCAACATTATTATAAGGAAAAAATATTCGGATATTTATAAATTATATTTCTAAACATATTTCAGTATTTATATTTTGTTAATTGTGCATTAGATGGAACAAATTACTCTAGTTATTATAATTAATTTGATTAGGAAATTGCAAAATTTAAAAGAAAAAGCTTTCAAATAAAATAATTCATCAATAAATTTTTTTTTTTTTGATGTATCATATAGTTTTATTTAAGTAACAAATTTTCACAAATTACGAATTATAATTAAAAATATACATATAAAAAAACTAATAATATATTTAAAATGAATTAAAAGATAAGTATGTATAAAAGAGAAATGGGATAAAAAAAAATAATAATAAAATTTTAAAAAAAGGGTAAAAATCACCTTAGAGAAGAGTGAATGCTTAAAAAATTGGATCGGTAGATTTCCAGGGAAATCTGCTGACGAAGGTAAAATCCTTCATTGGGGTCCCCTGAGATCTGCCTCATTTTTTTTCCTATAGTTTTGATGAAATTGAGAACATCACTTCCGAACATGCCTAGGGTATTGGTAACGATTGTGATAAACACGGTATTAGTGAGGCAAGCATATTTGTTTTTTTTAGGATTCGGCCTTTTCGATGGCAGAAAATGAGAGGTTGGACTTGGCGGCAATATCGACAAAGAACACCATCCATTTGGTGTCTAGCATATCTTCTAAAGAATAATTTATTTAGAAAAAATATCTGACCAGTTGTATCAACTACGAAATAAAATTTACTTTCAATTGGTAATTAAGAAAAAAGGAAAACTCACCGATAAGTCTAAAAATATAATATTATTCGAGTTCTACAATTTTTCTTATTAACTGTGCGGTATTTATTTTTCAGCGGCAGTTAACCTAGCCGTGAGATATTTAGTATTAAATGATTTATTATATGATTAGCCGAGGAGCTATATTTTATGACATCCGACTTTTGCAGCCATACTATTTCGTAATAAATCATTCATTATGTGTCTAACCGAACGATATTTCGGTGCAGCCGTGGGATAAATAAACTCACCCCGAATGAAGTTCAAATATGAAAAGATGCAATCTTTAAAACGGGGGATTTAGGCGATTAAATCATGATTCTTCTTAAGTTCTAACATAATAAATAATGTATTATATAATATTATACATGTTAATTTTTAAAATAAAAGACGAAACGAGGGGGCATTCTCTTTTCACAATAAGAAAAATTTCAAAATATTCGACTTGCAACTTGGATATAACGATTGGTTTTTCAGGAAACACGATAATAAGTAATGTTGCTACATGTTAATCTTTTAATAATAATAATAAAAAATGGTTTTTTTTTAAATTTTATTTTATTTATTATGTTTGTTGTGGGAAAGGAAAATATAAGAGAAAAAAAAATATGTATCATCTGGTACTTTGACTTAAAATGATGGATATATATAAATCGCCTGTGTATATTTTGTTGAATTTTTTTATATATTTTTTTCCTACATTTTTAAAAATGAATAGTGGGAAAAGAAAAGGGGACGACCATTCAATAACACAGCTATAACTAATATTTCAGAGATCTTCCGACTTCAATTCAATCGTGCCCTCAAAATATTTAAGGATTTCTATCAGCCAAATGTATAGGATTAGGCAAAAATTCTTTTCTAAAATATTGAGTTAGCGGTTTTTAAAAAAGCGGTTCTGAGAGATCTGTTTAACAACACCAGATTTTGGCTAACTTTTGCTAAAAAAAACGCAGTCCAAAATATGACTATAGCATATCATTAAAGAATTAAAAGAAAGATTTAGATTACATTTTTGTGTAAGAAAGAAAGAAAGAAAGAAAGAAAGAAAGAAAGAAAGAAAGAAAGAAAGAAAGAAAGAAAGAAAGAAAGAAAGAAAGAAGAAAGAAGAAGAAAGAAAGAAAGAAAGAAAGAAAGAAAGAAAGAAAGAAAGAAAGATCAACAATAAGTCTACAAGTCAAAAATTTTTACTTATCATTCAAGAGAAAAGTTACCAAACTTTCAGAGCAAGGAAATATAAATCAAGCAATTCGAAGAAGAAAAAGTTCAAGTTAAAATATTGCAAGATGTATCAGCAAATTGCTATTTTTGGAATAAAATAGGTTTAATATATTAATGGGATCTTTATAAGACTAGTTCACGTTACGATTAATTATATCCGTAAAAGCATTTATCTCTATCTCTATGACCATGTATTGCTGCATTTCCAAAATAGGAATTATTCACTTTATAATATTACAAGGCTGGTTTTTAAAATTTAAATTCCATGTACTAGAGTTATGAATAATCCATTTCATCACTCAACTGGATTATTGAACAGCCACGAAATCGTCGAGTCAAGGAAGATGATAATTATAAATATAAAGTCATAAAAGACTTTTTCAAATATGAAATAATAGAAAATTAAATTATTATATTAGACATGACATAGTGTTGTTAAAAAGTCCGATTGGGATTAATGATACGATAATATCATGCAAGCCTCGGGATTTGGCAAATAAAGGTCTAAATCTTTCTGCTATCTATATGCAAAATCTCCAGGCTTACAGAATGATATTTTAAATAAAATATTAATAGGGTCGTTTTTAAAAATAGACCCAAATCGGGCTTTAACAAACCCAATATCATAAATATATTCAGAATTTTCCCATGAGGGGCTATAAGAGGGTGGTTTTCCGGCATAAATTTTATTAAAGGTTTTTAGTTCTATTTACTTCCTTTGGTTATATTATATTTTTATATAATTTTCCGTTTTCACTAATTTTTTTTAATAAAAATGTCTAAAAATTTTGATTTATAATAATTATTTTAAAAAAAATTATCAACTTCTTTATTTCTTTTATTGTTTATAGTAATATCATTGTATACATTGAGGGGGGGGGGGGTGGGGAGGGGTTAGCTTAAAATTATATTTGCGAGAACAGGCAAATTTTCGATGGTGTGAGAGTAAAATTCAACTTTCCCACCGTTTGACAACGCCTATGAGTGCTATAATATAGATAATAAATATATTCTAAATACATTTACAATTTTTCAGAAATCATATTACCGAAAATATATCAAGCCCCTAATTTGGCAAGTGGAGTAGATTCATTATTTAGGAAAGGTGGCTTAACAATCAGTATAACAAAAATATCTGACCATGGGGACTATGTTTTTTACAAGTTTTCAATTAGAAATGGTCCAGGGGGTCCAGTTATTCCTATAAAACTACAGGTAAAAAAAATATTAATTTAAAATAAATAAATAAATAAATCATATTTTCATTCATCTTTTTTAACGCTATCTATATATTATATTAGTAATAGGTCTGTCCTGAGCACGGCTGTTTATAACTAAATAAAAATTGGGCGGGGCCAGGGTTTAGAAAATTTAAATTAATTTTATAAGCAATTAGTTATCTTTATTACTTCACCTTTTATATAATGTATGATTTATATTTCTTAATTAAATATTGAAGCTTAGTATAGCTTGGATATGGACAGAAAAATATTTATTAAATAAATTCAATGTGAATTTGAAAAAATAAGTTGAAAATAATATTAAAATAAGGAAAGGAAATATAAATGTAAATCTAATTCGTACATGAATAAAATAAATATATAATTCTAATTATATTTAAAAAAATTAAGGTAGCCAAATTATCAGGGAAAATATTAATTGGAACTATAGAATTTACATCAGTACCGCCTATTGCAAATGAAACAACCACAGATAGAATTTCATCAACTACAACCAAAATCACTACTTTTACTACAACTTTATCAACTAGTGAAACTATAACTACTCCGCTTCATACTAATATTACTTCAAGCATCCCAACTACTATTACAACTTCACCGACTACTGATACTATTACAACTATACCTACAAGTGTTATAACTACGATTTTGGCAATTACTACTAAAATACCTACTACTATAACAATATTTCCAACTACAACTATGGTAGCCACTACAGTAGCTCCAGCCACTACAATAGCTCCAGCTACCACTACAGTAGCTCCAGCTCCCACTACAGTAGCTCCAACTACCACTACAGTAGCTCCAACTACCACTACAGTAGCTCCAGCTACCACTACAGTAGCTCCAGCTACCACTACAGTAGCTCCAGCTACCACTACAATAGCTCCAGCTACCACTACAGTAGCTCCAGCTACCACTACAGTAGCTCCAGCTACCACTACAGTAGCTCCAGCTACCACTACAGTAGCTCCAGCTACCACTACAGTAGCTCCAGCTACCACTACAGTAGCTCCAGCTACCACTACAGTAGCTCCAGCTACCACTACAGTAGCTCCAGCTACCACTACCAGCTACTACTACAGCTCCAGCTACCACTACTGTAGCTCCAGCTAATACTACTGTAGCTCCAGCTAATACTACTGTAGCTCCAGCTAATACTTCTGTAGCTCCATATACCACTACAGTAGCTCCAGCTACCACTACAGTAGCTCCAGCTAATACTACTGTAGCTCCAGCTAATACTTCTGTAGCTCCATCTACCACTACAGTAGCTCCAGCTACCACTACAGTAGCTCCAGCTACCACTACAGTAGCTCCAGCTACCACTACAGTAGCTCCAGCTACCACTACAGTAGCTCCAACTACTAATACAGTAGCACCAATTACCAATACAGTAGCTCCATTTACCACTACAGTAGCTCCAGCTACCACTACAGCCACTCTAGCTACTACAACAATAGCTCCTGCTACTACTACTTATACTACAACAATCTTTCCCACTACTAATGCTATTATAACATCTATGAAGTCTGCAAATACAACCATGCCTATTAGTGATACTACCACAACCACTTCCACTACTAATACAAATCCAATTTCTGCCACTTTTACAATCACAACTACTACAACTAATAACATGGTCACAATCACAATTGCTAGTAACAATACAACTATACCTATAAATGCACCCATATCTATTACCTATACTCCAGGCATCAGTTCTACTATCGCTATCACATTAGCTATTAATACTAAGCCATGAAAAAATAGTTTACTAATAGGAAAGTAATTTGATTTTTTTTTATTAGTCGAATATCAATTATTAAATTATAAAAATTGCATCCTGATTTATTTTACTCCATAATTTTTTTTAATAAAAAATCCTTGCACCATACTTGCGGTTATTTAGGCCAGTACCAGAATTAATCTGAATAATTTGTAAAATTATTTTTACCAATGTGTATATAATAATAAATCGAGATGTTATATTTCTTTTTATATAACTTGAAAAAATTTCGGAGATGTTCAATTTAAATTTTCTATTCCAACAAATTTTTGACAAAATTTTGAATTATAATTAAATAAAAATTATTGTCCATTTATTAAATAGTTGAGTATTACAAATATTGAACTTAAAAATGGTTTTTTGGGGGGCTGTGTCTAGAAATCTACACATGATTATTGTTATTTCAAAAAAAAACTTGATAATTATTTGTTCTATTTAAATTATACAATTATTATATTTTAATTTAGATGAAACCCTTTATGATTTAGAACGTTTATTTGTAGTAAATGCTTATGATTTTTTAGATGTTAATTTAGTTATATTATTTTATAAATATAGTAAAAATTTGATAAATGAATTTGTAAATTCAAATATAAAACGAGTCCCTGAATTGCAAGTGTTTCTTTGGGACATTCCCTTATCCCTCTTAGTTCTTTAAACATACATGGCATAACTCACCCCTCCCTCTTATATTGTATCTAAATATAAAAACATATCTATTTTATCTCAAAATAAAATAAACTAACTTTATTTCCCAATTTTTTTTTGTATAAAAGATTTTTACAAAAAAATACAGATAATTTTATATCAATGAAATGCTCAATCAAAATATATTATTTAATATAAGATTAAGCAACAAAATGTAAATTCTAAAGTAAGAAACCTAACAAGTTGTGCTTGTCTTATTTTTTTTAAATTTAGTTTTAGGACAAACTATAAAGATGTAAATCTATTAATTACTTCCAAAATATTTATAAATTATATAATTTTTATACATAAAAAGACTTCAATAAGCAATTTTAGATAATCAAGGATGAGACCATTATTTTTTGTAAATTAATTTTTGACAAAAATTATCTGTTCAAAAATAATATATAAACGTTGTCTAATTTAAATATTAAATTTTGATAATTTTATAAATTTTTGAAAAACTACTGATTTTTTATAATTTTGATCCTTTACAAAACTAATTCAGTTCTAGCTAATAATTATATTTATTATATCATACATCAAATCAATATCACAAATATATTAAACTAACCATTAAAAACACTAAATTTCACATAGTCTCATAATTTTAAAAAATAAAAGTAAATATATTTACCCCACACGCACAACATAATGTTAAAGATAATCATCTTGTGGGATGAAGCTAATATAATTAGCCTTGTGAATAGCTATAGCAAGTCTTTGTCTCAAGAAAAAGCCTTCGCGAGGTTCATCCATAAGTTTAAAATTTGGGAGCCAAGTTCCTTGAAAAAGGATAATGCGTGATTCCCAAAGGTTGTTAAGGTGGAGAAAATAATGGGAATTTATATGTATTATGTGATATTTCAGAATTTTTAACTATTTTTAATAGCTCCCTTTTCTCAAGAATGTTAAGTGTTTAATTGGAAGGAGCCAAAGTATCAATGAACGAGTAATCCCAGACCAGGAATTAATCTCGCTTCCAAAGAATTTGAGCAACCCCATCAGGACGTTTCCCATCAAATCTGAAAAACAAGGTTCAAGATAAATGGAATTTGAGCTCGGATTATAAATTATGTCTAACAATTTGACATTTACAAGAATGATTATGGAGAGGCTGTGTCTTCTATTACTCTCGAAGGCAAAACTGCAACCAAAACAAGTGTGGGTAGTTAGGCAGTTTAAACAAATACCAATGGCGAGACTGAATTTTAGTTTAGTTGTAATTGTAAATTAACTGAGGGAATGGCTTCGAGGAACTCATGGCCAGATCCTAAGCAGCGAGGAAAATAATGGACGGTCAGATAATTGCATTCTGGAAAGAAGTGATTCAACGCAGCTTGCAATAATAAACCCATCCCAGTCCTTCTGCCTATTCGTTTCTGGAAGTTGGTGATCAGCGATAATTCGTGATTTCTACTTGATAATAGAATGTTTTATCAAATGGGTTTAAGATCGGAAGGAGTTCACCCTTCTTGGTGGGAAAAGTGGCTTGAGCCCACGCTATTTCATCAAATTTACGGTTTAGAATATTTTGATTAGGACTTTAATCCCGTTTTCATAAACACTTAGAGGTATGGGATATTTAAAAATAGGAGTTGATCGAAGCGCATAGGATACGAGGAATATTTTTGAAAAAATTCAAGAGGAAAAAGGCTTTATGGGAGGGAAGAAGGATTACCGCCAACTCAAAAACCATATCAAGAATGGAAGGAAGGAAGGAAGATATTGCTGAGGTAATCTTCAAACAGGAGCATCTAAATGATTTAGTTCTTCTATGGTGGTCAGTTTGAAGTTGCGTGAATTAGGTATAATTGATTTGAGAAATGAATTCGGATTTCTCGGGGTTGATAGAGAGACCAATAGCAGTCCCAGCCTCCTTGATTAAATTACTGTTTTATTAACATCCACCAAGGATACCATTATCAATATACCAGGCATGCAAGGATATTGAACACGTCGAGTTAATGGATTTAACGATGACGTTGGATTCAAGAGAATCTCCCTGTTGATGCCCTCAATGGATGGAATTTTTTAATATAGACAGAGAAGTTAAATGTTAACAAGAATGAAAAAATTTAGCATAGTGGGGTTAAAGAGTACGAATTCCGAGAAAGTGTATTATAGGCATTAGAGAAGTTAATTTTGACTAGAGACTTATTGGTAGGCTGATTTTCTAAATGTATTCTAGTTAAATGTACAATAACTTTACAACTACCTGTGACCCACACCGAGTTGGAAAGGGCTTAGAAGATATGAAGCTTCATGGTTTATTTGAGAAGATATCATCTTAATAAACGGCGAAAGGTTGACTAAATTAAATTTATATTTAAGACCCTGATTTATTTGGTGAACAATCGGTCTAAAAAATAGTATTAAAAAAAACATATTGGCAAGTTTTAACATAACTGACTTGGTCTCCTTTAATGTTTGATATTGTATAAAAAATATTTAATATATATATATGTTAGGGTTTGTTTTATTTTAATTCCAGTTAAGAAAACTATTAAATGAGAGAGCGTTTGCGACTTAAAATTGTAAAATATTTTTAAAAAACTACGTCATTCGAAGTTTGGAGGTTTAAAGGGCCCCGATCTTTAAAAAGGTTATATCTTTAAAAATGTTTTAATATAAAATTAGCTAATTCAACAACTACATATATCAAGCTAAATTATTAAGCTATCGAAAAAAATATAGATAAGAATTAAATGATCGTTATTTTTTTTTACTCGGGTTTTAAAATCTTTGAGTTCCACAAGTTCTGAGTATTAAACATAAATATAAGAGTTATTATGTAATTTTTTCATTAGTTTTTCTAATTGGTTCAAAATCTAAAATGGCCTCCAAAATAAATTAAGCTAAGAATTGACAAAATATAAAAAAAAATGGTCATCAATATTTTTGAAGTGACGTATTTATAAAATTATAATTTTTTTATTATACTTTTCTACATCTTGATAAGTATCAGCCCTCGAGACATTTCGTATAGGCTACGCTTAGATATTGACTTTAAATTTAAAATATCATATATATATATGTCGTATAGGGTTTCAGAATCCGTGGGGATTCGGAATCTCTCAATTTTAAATCATTTACTAAGGGCGATTTTTGGATTTTAAAAATCTGATTTTACAAGAATTGTATTCCAGCATGTGTAGAGTATTTACCCTATAAATTTCAGCCAATTTCAGCGATAGACATTTTAGTATTTTTTTAATTTATATGAAAAAAAACCATATAAAAATTAATATAAATTAGAAGTAGTTCTAAAGTTCATGGCAAAATTGTTTGAAATTTACAGTTTGGGTACTCTACCCATGCTAGAATACATTTCCGGTTAAATCGAACTTTAAAACTTTTTAAATCGCTCTCGGTAAAGGATTTAAACTCAAGAGATTCCGAATCCCAATACGACATATATGTATATATATATATATATATACTAGGTTATTAATAACATTAATATTCAATGTATCATTGTCCGTCAAAATAATTGCAAAAATTTTACAATATTTGAGTAATGGCATCCAGTCAATCAAGGAATTATTTTTCGTAAAAGAAATCAAAATTTAGACTTTTGGTTCTTAATTTGTTCAAATCGATTCTCACATAGATATCATAACTGCGTCTACTAATGTCTTTTAAGAAAAAATCAATTCTATTTCAGTGTTGTGGAGTGAATATTTCTTTTCTTAATTTTAATAAAAAATCTTTTAAATTCACATCTATATAAATGTATGGTAGAGTTCGCTGAGTTGGTATCAAATTGGTTAAAGTCAATAAGTGGTTCCAACTTAGTTACAAACTTCAAAATAAAGAAAGGTTACAATTTAATTAGTACATTCCGTTTTATCTATCCAAACAACTATTATTGAACAAAAAAACATGAAAGGGATCTACTAATGAACTATTTTTGATTTTTAATATTTAATACATCGAACACGTAATGTTTTCACAAATAACTAATTATAATATATATATATATATAATACAACTAATTTAATAACCAATTTAACAAAACTTACAAGGATAATTTAAAATATTTATTTTGACTATTTAAATTACCAAATTAACCCTTCCATACTATCACATATATTCTCACTATTTTTTATCTCTTGATCTTATACGGGATAAATTGTTTTCTTATCCATTTTGGATTTCGCTTTTCTATTATTGGCGAACTAAATGTATTTTCGTTTCTCATAGCAGGTCGGTTCATAATATTCTGTTTTTATATTTATAGTG